AAACAATTTAGTGTGAAAAGAACTTCTGTAACATGTATATGTGCATTGATCCAACCCAGATTCTGGAGTGTGAACTCAGGTCTTCATTTTTTTAAAAAGATTTATTTATTATGTATATAGTGTTCTGCCTATATGTATACCTACACTCCAGAAGAGGGCACCAGATCTCACTATAGATGGTTGTGAGCCACCTTGTGGTTGCTAGGAATTGAACTCAGGACCTCTGGAAAAGCAGCCACTGCTCTTAACCTCTGAGCCATCTCTCCAGTCCCCAGGTCCTCATTCTTGCAAGGTTATTCCTTAACCAACTGAGTCCACTGTGTCTTCTAATGCGATGTAGAAGCTGAAGATGTTAGTAAAATTCCTTTGGTACACAGAACAGATGCCAGGAACAAATAGTTGTCCAGCTTCTCATGTCCCCGGTGTCAGATTTGCTTAAACAGCATCCTCCAGGGTCAACAGGAGCACAGGGAGGAATGGTAGTACTGATAAGGCCAGGAGAAGGGTGGGGCTGGGAGCAGCTCAGCCTTTGGGTACCCTTGGTTCCTTCTACAGAGAAGGAACCCTCAATGTTTGCTGTATTTTCTGTTCCTTGGGTTTACAGGTGAAAGAGACACATCTAGAGGCCACCAGAACTGAGCACTCCTGGCCTTCTAATTCCAGATGGTAATTGGATTTTGTGTCAGTGAGAGAAAATGAAATTTTGTGACCAGATGCCACAGTCTTAACTGAGATTCAATACACTGCCAGATAAATTAGATACTGACTAGATGGATCATCACAATGGTTGGTTTAGAAGGTTTGAGGGAAATCTGGGGTATCTAAATGTGCACCTGCATTTTTAGTGCCAGATGGGCAGATGAGTCTAGTGCTCCATGATGCTCATCAGCCGCTTCACGGGGATGGGCTAGTGGCTTATTAAGTGAACTGGACACATTTTCTCAGCCATGATGATGACATTGCTATATTAAGCCAGAGTCTGCATGAGCATCTGGAGTCCTAGACTGATGCCAAATTGATTTGCAAAGCTGGGCTTCTGAAGAGACTGAGCAAAGGGCCATTTGGATGTCTGGATCAAAGATTAGGCTACAGGCTGAGAGTGTAACCCAGCCACAGAGGTCAGGCCTATGTGCTATCCTCTCACTGCATAGCAAACAGACACACTGGCCCTTTGAGGGGAATGAAGACAAGTCACCGCATGGTTTGGTTCCTGTTTCAGGCTGAGTGAGGCGTAGGAGCTATTTGTTCTAGGAGGTCTTGGCCAAAACATTCAAAGGCATGGCTAGGGATGTAACTCAGCCATAACACACCTTCCAGGTCATTCACAGAACCCTAGGTTCAACCCTAACCCCGCAGACTTTATAAAAATAAATCCAGAGGCTGGAGAGATGATTCAGTGGTTAAGAGCACATACTGCTCTCGTAGAGGACCCAACTTCAATTCCTAGCACTCATGGGTGGCTCACAGCTACCTGTAACTTCAGCTACAGGGGATTCAAAACCCTCTTTTGGCCTCTATGGGCAACTGCACTTATTATATATATGCATATGTAATATTGAGTATGTATGTATGTATGTATGTATGTATGTATGTATGTATGTATGTTCAAAGGCAGACCCTCTCCAGGACAGCAGATAAATAGCACAGGAAAAATCCATTAGAAGAGCTTCTGATGCAAATCACTTGCAAAGAATTTTCCCTACCTTCAGGTAGAGATGTCAGGAGGCAACTTGTGTTGCAACAGGGCTTTTATATGCAGTGTGTTGTCTTCATCTTGCACTCTAAAATAGCCCATGAATTTAGTTTCTTCTACTTGAACTGATGGAATAAGCACCACTGACAATTGGTTGAAGAACCAGAGGACACTGCAATGGGTGAGTCATTTGCTGACCAAAATTATAGTCTATCAAAAAGCCAACCATACTTGGGCCACCTACCAGCAGTAGAAATAGAAAAATTTCTGATGGAGCCAAGTGTCCTGAGGATCCTGGGAACAAGTCAGGATTATGTAATCTGGCAGAGAGACTGGTAGGTGACCCTTGCTCCATCACTCCCTTCATCAGAGCAAGCATGGGCAAGATTTGCAGCTTCAGAAAATGAGACATAATTGCTTATGTCCTTGGCATTTTGTTCTACTTAAAATGGGTTAAAAGGGAATAGGAACTAGAAACAGAAAAACAAGCAAGCAACAGGGTCCTGGGGGGCGGGGGGGGGGGGGGGGGGGGGAGACGGGACACAGCAGGCACTGCAACTCGTCTATCTCCAGCTGTGAGGTTTTTACCAATCCATTTTCTGACTTGTTTCTAGGAAGCAAAGTGAGTGTTCTCTGGCCTCCAAAGATTTGAGATGCTAATGGAAAGATAGAAGCAGGCTTCCAATCCTTCACCACCCCAGAAAGACCAAATGTAAGACTTTACAGTGACTGCTCAGGATGTGCCCAGCAAGGAGCCTCATGTTCTGAGAATCATACAATTTCCATGAGGCAGGCTGCGTGAGCCCTGTTATGGGCCACATACTGGGCCCCATGCTGGGATATCCAGATAGGTCAGCAAAGGAACTCATACCTGAGCCAGAGAGAGAAAAAGGAGAGAGGGGAGAGAGAGAGAGAGAGAGAGAGAGAGAGAGAGAGAAGAGAGGGGGAGAAGGAGAGTAAAAGAGAGAGAGAGAGATGGCACCAAGAGCCAGAATAAGCACAACCCATGAGCGTCACCCAGGAAGAATTTATTTCATTTCCTCATGAAGTTCAAGGCCAGATTGGTTAAAGGAACTGCGGGTGTGTGCATATTTGAAATAAAGGCCACTGTGGAGAGAACAAACCTGGTGGTGTTAATTTTCATCCTACATACATTGGCCATTCGTAACTCTGTGCAATCTACAGCAATGGCCTGGGATAGGTTGAGCATGTGGGGCTAAACATGGAATCTAACCCATGGGGACTCATTCTTATACCCCAGAGCACCAGGAACTCTCTGCTGCTCCTGTTACCCCAAGTACCACAGTGTCTAGTGGAGACCATCACTCTGACTGTGCCATCTCTCCAGCTCTTTCTAGCTGGTCCTGACCTTGGTCTTACCTTCCTGAACTTCTGTCTTTGTTTGGGTCTCCTAGAGGCCTCTATTTCCCTCTCCTGTGTGCTGCTTAGCGTTACCTCTGATTCTACTATGTATTTTCAGATCAAAACTCCACTTGAACCTCACCTTTGCCTTTGTGAGTGACCAGTGTGTTTGTTATGATGTGAAGCTTAACTTTGCTCTTGAAGTATAAGTGGGATTTAGTGGGTAGGGGGAGGGAGAGGCAGGAGCAAGGTGGCAGGACAGCAAAGAAAAGCAGGGTTCCCTGGGAGCTGTAAAGAGTGCCTTGGGCCTGGGCCTGAGCCCAAGATAGAGAAGGTCAGGGGTTTCTTTGACAGTTATCTGCAGCCTAGGAGAGAAAAGCCAGGGTATATGGTGGCATTTTGGAAGAGGGTCAAGAAACACACATCTCAGCATCCCTGTTAGGGATTGGGCAGAGGAACAGAGCCAATATAAAAGACTTGGAAAGAGCCTTTCTGTCTAGAGAGGGAAGGGACCCTTAAGACAGGCAAGAGATGCAAGAGATGTTTCTTGAAGGATGAGATATCCTCAGGCTGACATGCCTAGAAGAAAATAGGATGGACAAGCATCAGAAACATATCTCTTTGATGGGTGGTCTGGGCTGCCCTTCCTGATGGCATGACTGTGCCTTCCCACCCAGAAGACAGGTGTGTCCAGGCCGGGAGGAGTGTAATATTTATCTGTTGGGGCTGAGGCCACATTTCTACCTGGAGCTGAGAGATATCAAGGTGTGTTGGGCACCAGCTACGCTGGATTTCATGTCTGCACATTTGCCTTAAGGAAGAGCAATTACTTGCCTGTTTTGAAAGGTGGAGGGGTTTGAAGCACGGTGCCTTGAAATCAACTTTATTGACTTCAAAGGAAAAAAATAATTGAATTATACTGGATTTCATAGGAGAGAATAGCTATCTAAGCTGCAATTAAAGGAGTGAGAAAGCAGTTCATTTAATGAATAATAATTTAATGTTTTGTACTTCAAGTTGGGAATGTAAAACACAAGAGAGCATTTTGGATGCTCATTGTAGAATCATTTGCAATATAAAAAATGGATGACAATATACATGCTCAGCAGATGGGGAATGGAGAACAAGTTATATATTCACAGAAAGAAATCACTTGAAATAATGTGTCATAACATGAGAATATTAACCCTGTGACACCACAGAAAGTAAGATTCTCTCTGGTTCCTGGAGTATAATAGTTGACCTTCATTGTCAACATGAGGGGGTTAGGGTTGAGGAGACACTCTCAGAGCTGATGAGGGTGTTTCAAGAGAGAACCCCACCCTGAGTGTGGGGAGCACCAGCCCAAGAGCTGGAGTCCAAGACTGAATAAAGAAGACGTGATCTGAACAGTGTATCATCTCTCTGTGCTTATCAACTGTGGACACAATGTGAGCAGCTGCCTCAAGTTCTCACCTCCATGCTGCCTCCTCCTTGGTAGACTGTGCTCTCAAACTTCAGCCAAAACAAACCCTTCCTTAAGATTCAGGGATTTTTGTCACAGCAAAGAGTAAAGTCATTAGTTCATGGGTTGGAAGAAGAATATATATGGACACATATGTATACATATATTACATGTATTTTGGGTAACACTGGGACAAGGGCATCATGAACAGATATATGGTAGAGAGGGAGGACCACAGGGATCTGATGGTAAAGTAGGAGGACCACAGGGGTCTGGTGGTAGAGAAGGAGGACCACAGGGGTCTGGTGGTAAAGTAGGACGACCACAGGGGTCATAGTAGGAAGATGCAGCTTGGCTTCACCTGTTTCCTCTTGGTCACATGACACTGCACAAGTCCTATGACCTCTAGGAGAGACTTGAATGTTTCATTTAGTGTTTGCTTTGGAGTCAGGAGGAGGAGATGGCAAGAAAGAGGGTAGTCCCTTGGCCTTCTGGACATACCTTCAAGTTGAAGCTGTCTGGGTCTTGGCGGAGCTTCTCCTGGCAGGTGAGACAGTCCCTGGGACAGCTGCTGAACACACTGGAGAGCAGGCTGAGCAGCAGAACATCACTAAGCAGGATTTTCATGGTGCAGAGTGGGGAGCAACCAGCTGAAACACATAGAGGACACGTGCCAATTAGTATAGTCTGGGGAGAGGGTTCGTCAGTTCTGGGCATCACGACCCAGGGAGGCAAGCATCATTCCTCAGCAAGGCGATTCCTCAAGTCTTAGATTCACCTGGGAAGGAATAGACTGTAGACAGTACTGGTGGCCTGGTCCTGCCATCCAGGACTGCTTTCATTCATAGGCTGTGTGTAGTGCAGATCCCTGGAGAGCACTTGTGATTCCTGCCACTTAGCTGGACTCTGCCGTTCCAGAAAGAGCTGTGGGATGGGAAACATCTTTCCTGGAGGCCAGAGGCATTGCTTCCTGACCAATGAGTGCCTTTAAGTCAACCTCTTCAAACCTCAGTTTCCATAGCCATAAAAGAGAAAGCATGGCAGGCGCCTTACCATAGGCCTGTTAGGAAGATGAGATGTGACCTGTCAGGGCCAAGGTTTCTAAGGAACAGATGAGGAGCTGAGTGTGGTGGCATAGTTTCTCATCCCATTTCTCAGGAGGCAGGCAGGGGGATGAGTGACTGAAATGCCTCCTGGCTTCTTTTCTGGCCAGACTATGAATGCTGTCCCTCAATTCTCTCTCCCAGGGAGCTTCCATGTGTCCCCTGTCTGTCACCCACATCAGAACTGAGCTCCTGCTATGGTTTGAGTGATTGTGTCTTCTCAGAGTCCATATGTTGAAATCTATGAAGGTAAATCTTGGTAGACGGCTTGAACAGACTAAAAACAAGTAGGTGGAGGTAGGGGAAATGGCTCGGTGGGTAAAGTGCTTGCTATGCAAGTGAGGACTGGTGATCAGATCCTACTCAGCAAATGCTGAGTGGTGTTGGGGGACCACCTGCAATACCAGTGCAGTGGGAGATAGGCAGTCCCCAGAACAAGGTGGACAAGTAAGTGGTTGAATCAGTGGACTCCAGGTCTAAGTGAGAGAACATGCTTCTTCATATGTAGTGTAGTTAATAATTAAGGAACATATCTGAAGTCAACCTTCCCCCCCCCCCCCCCCCCCCCCCCCCCCCCCCCACACACACACACCCCATACCATGTATACTATTAGTAAATTACTCCTCTGGTTCATGTGTGATGACATCTCTAGAAACATTGAGATCATGAGGCTGCTGACATAACAAATAGGTTAAACCCTTGGTAAATGCATGAGGTGATAACATTATTGGAGCTAGTGAAGAGTAGGTGGGGTCTACTTGGAAGAAGTAGGCCCATGCCCCCTGGTTTATACTGAAGACCAACTGAGATATCCAGCCTCATAGACTGAACAACTACTGGATTCTTGGACTTTTCATTGGTAGATAGCCATTATTGGAGTAGCTGGACCACACCCTGTAAACCACATTCATAAATCCCATATATATATATGTGTGTGTATGTCTGATATATATATATATATATATGTATATATATATATATATATATATATATGCGTGTGTGTGTGTGTGTGTGTGTGTGTGTGTGCGTGTATGTGTGTGTGTGCTCGCGTGTGTGCACGTGCGGTGTGTGTGTGTGTGTGTGTGCTCGCGTGTGTGCGCGTGCGGTGTGTGTGTGTATATATATTCATCCTATCAGTTCTGCTCCTCTAGAGAATCCTGACTAATACAACATCTTTAGAACAAATGTCTTGAACCAGAAAACTACTTCCTTGTACTATGCCATTTTGGGTTGAACCCTCTTTACTTGGGATTGAATGGGAGGAGGAACAGAAACTAGTTCAAACTGTTAACTTGACACCTACAGTCACCCTTGAAGAGAGTCTTAATGAGGGATTGTCTGATCAGGCTGGCCCAGGGGCTTGTCTGTGGGATTGCATTGATTATCAATTGATGTAGGAAGACCCTGCCCACTGTGGGTGGCACCATTCCCTGGGCAAGAGGTCTTGATCAGTATCAGAGAGGAGAAAGTCAACTGAGAGCAACCAAATAAGCAAGGTTGCATTTGTCTCCCTCTGCTCTAGATGCGAATGTGAGGTGACCAGTTGCTGCAAGCCCCTGTCACTGTGACTTCTCTGCTGTGTTAGACTGCAAACTGGAGTTGTAAGCTTAAAGAAGTCGATTTTAAAATAATTATTGTTTGTTTCTGTACATGTGTCTCTTTCTGTGTGTATGCCACATGTATGGTGGTGCCTTCAGAGGCTAGAATTGGGCAATGGATCTCTTGGAGCTAAAATTACAGGCAGTTGTGAGCTCTCTGACATGGGTGCTGAGAGGCAAAGAGTAGCAAGTGCTCTTAACTACTGAGCTAACTCTCCAGTCCTCTAAATTTTTTTGTGTCAGGGTGTTTTGTCATAGCAACAGAAATGAAGGTTGAACAGAAACTTTCTAGAAATATTGACATCCTTTACTGGGACCATAGGCGTGTGTGTGTGTGTGTGTGTGTGTGTGTGTGTGTGTGTGTGTGTGTGTGTGTGTGTTTGTGTGTGTGTACAGAGATGAAGGTTGAATGGAAACTTTCAAGAAATAGAGCCTTAGGTGTGTGTGTGTATTATATGTATATATACACACATATATACTACACACATATCATACATATGTATCTACACACATATACATACAGAAATGAAGGTTGAATGGAAACTTTTGTGGTGATATCTTGCTTGTACAAATAAAAGCTTGTCTGAAGATCAGAGGGTAGAGCTTGCTACTAGCTAACCATAGAGGTCTGGAGGTCTGTACAGACAGACAGGAAGTGAGATGGCTGGGCAGAGAGAGGATATAGGCAGGAGGAAATACAAACTCGCTCTCTTTTCTGCTGGGAAGCTAATAAGGTAAAGGTGGCTTTGGTTTGTTCCTTCTCTCTGATCTCTCAGCATTTTCCTCTATAACTGACTCTGTTTTTTTTATTATTTAGACCAATTAGAGCTCCATTTACAAACTTTCTAGAAATATTGACATTCTTTACTGAGTCCATAGGGATATGTATATGTTTTTTTGAGACAGAATTTCTTTGTGTAGTCCTGGCTGTCCTGGAACTCACTCTGTAGACCAAGCTGGCCTCAAACTCACAGAGATCTGCCTGCCTCTGCCTCCCAAGTGTTGAGATTAAAAGTGTGTGTTACCACCACCCGGCAAGGGGTGTATATATTTTCCAAAATCCATCAAATTGTAGATTTAGAGTCTGTGCATTTTACTATATGTAACTTTTCTGCATAAAGAATTTAAAAACAACTGTTTTCATTGTTTTTTCATCAGATGACTCTGAGAAATCTGTGAGTTTGTCCTTCTAATGCTGTCTGTTGGAGTCTTCTGAGAAGGTTATAGTCTTGGGCCCTACCCACAACCATCACCTCAGGATCTGTGTTATTAGCACTATTCCTAGGGTGACTTGTCTGCATGACAAAATTTGAGAGGTATGGGTGAGAGTCATCCATAGGAGCAAGTCCATAGGAGTCAGTCCATAGGAGCAAGGAGGAAGCACTCAACAAAAGCTACCAAAGAGCCATATTGGAAGACCACGGGGTTCTCGTGTACCAAGGAGCACTTCAGACTTAGGGGATGATGATTAGAATGGTGTTCAGTAGATTTTTGCTTGTTTGTTCTTTTGCAATGTAGTCTCATGTAACTCAGGCTGTCCTTAGACCCCTATGTAATTGAAAATAACCTTGAACTTCTGATCCTTCTATTTCTACCACCCTAGGTCTGGGGTTCCAATGTATATACCACTAAGTCCAGTTTATACAGTGTTGGGTAGCAAACCTAGGGCTTCATTTATACTAGGCATTCTACCAACTGAGCTATAGTCCCAGCTCTCAATAGATGTTACCATTTGAAGTGTGTGTCAAAATGAGTGTTTGGTAACAGGGACCCCAGGAAATCTGGGATCGTAGCCTGTGAGTGTGGCAAGCACACTGGTAGCCTGGGGAACCTGTGTACCTTCTTCAAGGTTAGCACCTGCTGAAAGGAGTCTGGGTCCAGATGGAGCAGGTCTTGTCTGTCTCTTTGGAAGCTTGTGCTTTATCTTATGATGGTGGGATGTCTTGGGCTACTAAATAAAGCATCCAGACATCTGTATCCATGAGTGTCTCTCGAATGCAATTTTTCCCTTCTTTATCCCAATAGCCAGTGTCTAGTTGAGATTTATTGCCTTATTATTGTAATAGTCTCCTAATTAGTCCACCTAATGATCTGGCCTCCTTCCAAGCCATTGGATGATTCCACTTCATTCTTAAAATAATTCTATAATGCCCATGGCTGTCAGATGTTCCAATGACTTATCTGGTCACTGGCTCTTGTCTCATCCCCTGCCACTCATCTTAGCATCACTTCCAGACCCACTGACCATAACTCTCACCTATATCAGATTGCTAACGTTTTTATGCCTTGTAACTGACTGTTGCCTCTGTCAGGATACTGTATCACCATGTCAGGAATGTCCCCCTCCAGAAAGCCATCACTAGACCGGCTTGAGCTAGACCAATCTTTGCTACTGTTGTGGCATCCCAAGGCAATGTTACCATGGGAAACAAGTGGGACTCAGGGCCCGATCTGTCACATGAGTTAAGCAGAATGGTCCCGTAGAGTTGTGTAATGTGAGTTTTCTTATCTGATCATCTTGGGAAAGGAGTCCTGGGCTCAGATCATTGGTTCTGTAACTTGCTGGCTGTACTCAATCTCTGAGTTCCTCATTGTAAAAGTAGGACCATCTTAGGAACTATATCATGTTAGCATCAGTGGGTTCATGTTTGCAAACAGTTAAAGCAGTAACCAACATATAACACTTTATAAAAGAAAGCTAGAGCATAGCACTCACCTTGTAACCTCACTATACCCTCACTACTTCATTTCTGCACTTAGTAATCAATCGATTGTAACCTTGCACTTCCAGGTCTGCTTCTCCCACTGGCCTGGGACTTCCTGAGGGACAGAGATACTGTCCTATCATTCTCTCTCTGCCAGGTACCCAGGCTAGGACACAAACTTTAGGATCTGTTCAGTGAAAAATTGACAAAAGACAGTGGG